GTTTTATTTAAAGTGAGATTTACTTACACAAATGCAGACATTGTTAATAGTTAGGTAATGTATGAAGGGAATTGGTTGCTCTGGATTTGACTTGGAGGCATCAGAGTGAAGAGGTTTAACAACCAATGAATGCTGCCACTGTCTGAGTATAAAAAGTTTTGAAAGGCATTGAGAAGTTTTAGAGAGCTCTGATTTGTTTTTGGTCTGTAAGTTGCCTTAGCTTTTTCCAGGCAAATGACAAAAAACTTAATGTGATGTGATAACCACAAAATGTGTTTTTATTCCCCATATGTTAGAGCTCATTTCAAGACGTGTCCATATTTTAGTACTAAAGTATCCTTTCTTGATACACTAAACCACATTAATCAGTCCGAACTGTTCCAGATTGTTTTCAATGTCTTCCAGTTTTTCAGTACTTTACAGCAGTGCCTGGTCATTTGTTTTCTCTGTAGTTGGAAATCGGAGTGGGTCGAATCCAGATGAATTTTATCCACCTGCTGAGCACCGAGGCTGTGCAGCACATCATAATTCACTGCCTCAACGCCTCTGTGTGGGCCGAAGGTCCCACCCAGCAGCCGTCACCCAGGTCTGTAAGCTTCAAGGCCTGGACCGGGGAGGAGATCCAGGCAGGGGACCTTCTGGAGCCTCAGATACCCAGGGACGACTGCTGCGTATGGCTCTTTTTATTAGCACGCTGTACATAGATTGACAGTAACAATATGATGACCTTTCTAACATTAATGAATGTCTCTAAAGCTGTAAATTGGGATGCATTGATGCTTCATTTAGCAGATGACTGGCTGCACAGTCTACCGCAGACCAAACTGATGAACTTTTTGTTCTGACGCTGTGCTGTGACAACAACCATAACTAATTTGCAATAATGCTGATGTTTATGCATATAAATAAGTTTGTGGTCTTAATAGCTACAGTAGTGGAGATGTTTAGATTTTTAACAAAGCTCCTCAGATCCGTCGTTTTGCACATTATAGGGGTTCAAATAATCACTATATAATTAAAACTTTAGTAATCAGTTTTAATTACTAAAAGTTAAATTGCTGCCTAAACTGTGATGAGATGCATGACTCTTAAATTAACTGATTTGAGTTCACATTCAGTATAGTATGGCTGATTAAGGCCAAGGATTTAACTTTGACAAATTTATACAGCAGCAACCCTTATATATGAAGCATTTTTCAAAGCTTTTCCTGCACACAGTTGAAGCTAATTTTGTTTCTGCTTTTGCCTTTCATCTTCACAGAAAACAAACGTTTTGAAAAGCTCCCTTCAGGGTTAAGATTTTCATTAATTCTTGTTTGCAGTATTGATGTCTAGACAGGAAAACAAGAGACTTTTGGCAAGTTTGCAGTGCAATCGCCTTTGTTTACAGGAGGTGATTCCTCTGGTGCAGAAGCTGGCAGTATAATTGTTTTTTGCAATCAACCATAAAACACAAAGAAGTAAAAGATGGAAAGGGTCTGTTAGCTTGGCAGCTGCTGACAGCGTTTTAGTTTAGTTTTTTATTGTGTTTTTGCATTTTTACGTGGACAGACTTTATGAGAAACAATCCTCTATAAGGGAGATGTATTTAAGAAGGAAAGGGAAAGGTAGTTTTAAAAAATACCTTCTGTAGAACTGGCTCAACTAAAAGTCATAAACTAAGCCATTTCCCATCCATTTTATCGCTAAACAGTAAACAATAGCTTTTTAATTGGATACATAAATACATAAAATGTTAGACATTTTTACCAGTTTGTGCATGAATGAAACGTAATGAAACTTTTAAAGGGATTCTGCTAGACCATTTTAGATAGTTGAGCTGAACCACAACTAGCCTTTCATCAGAAATGCACAAATTATATTGATATCAAGTAACATGGCGTTTTATTTGATAGAGATACTAGTTTGGAATTCAATAAAAAAAAAAAAGAAAAAAAAAAGATCTCCTTTATACACTTCAATTAGAAATGGCAGAATGCATTAAGCTGCAGTTTTAATCTAATGTTTGTCTCTGCTGTAGCTGCAAACACAAAGCTGGCTTGCCTGCAGCTCCTGCACAATAACAGAGACTCGGGCACACAGGCAATTAGCTTGACTTTAATTTTTTGATAGTTGGGTCTCGTTTTTTTTTTTTTTGTCTTATTTTGCTAAAGTCAGAGCCAGGGCAGAGACATAACTAATAAATAACAGGTCTCCACTAAGAAAGAAATACAGCCACTCTTCACTGTATTGACCAACTCGCTAGTATTAGGTAGGATCCCCATTTTTGTATAGATTTTTCTTAACTCCTCATATTGACATGGTGGCATCGTGCAGCTCCTGCAGATTTGTAAACTGATCCACCACATCCCAGAGTTACGTAGGATTGAGGTCTGGTGACTGTGGAGATTTATGTTCTATTTTTAAGGCCGGTAGTTTCTGGAATACTCGGACAATGTCTGAACATGGCAACGATGCAAGTCACTGAAATCTCTTGGCCCTCATTCTGAAGCCTGATTTGACTGCAAACAAGTTGCTTTTACCATGTATTAATGTTTACAGGAGTTAAAATACTATCCTGTGATTGGTTGAGTCAATATTTTTGTAGGGTCATTGAACAGGTATCCAATTACGTGATCCATGAGTGTTTGTGTACAATGGCCAAAACCACATTTGGTGTGTATGTTTAGAAAAACTGAACACAGACTTTCCAGATGCAGAGAGTAAATTCACAACTCTTCTGTACATGAAGAAGCAACAGTTTGTCCTCAAAACGTCTCAGTCTATAGAAGATCACTCCCAAATACTTTTTTTTTTGAAGCAAGGAGACGTGCTCACTTCGAGTTCTCCAGAAACCATATGCCATTCACGCCTGAGCTCATTTGAACTTCTCTGTTCATCTGGAAAGTTTTCACAGCTCTTTAGTTTTTACACATTTTATGCTACAGTTTTATTACGAATTGTTTCAAATTTATCCCTTCCATCTTTTGAATGTTTTATTAAATTGAAAACCAAGAAATCAGATTTATGAACATATTCACTGCCTTTACTTACACTTTTTTGATCCACTTTAGGCAGCAATTACAACCTCAAGTCCTTTTGAATATGACAGCACAAGCTTAGCTCACCAGTCTTTAGGCAATTTGGCCCATTCTTCTTTGAATAACTTCTCAAACTCCATTAAACCATGAGATCTTCACCATGTGCCTTGTGCTCTCTGGAGCAGGTTTTCATCCAGGATATCTCTGCTTTGAATACTTTCTGGATGCACAGCACCAAAAATAAAGGGATCATTTCCACTGGAAACTGTTACCTGTTAGCTCTGTTCATTATTCAAAGTGACTCGTGATCTTTTAATAGAAAGGAAGGCTATATATCTAAAAAAAAAACAAAGCTGATTAAATTTAGACCTTGCGTTAATCTCTGGAATAGAAATCAGAAATTTGCCTCCACTTTCAATATTCCTGTAGAAAAGGTAGAAGTGTATTTTTCCCATCATTTTGTGTTCTGCCTCATGTGTTATATAATCGTGTCTTTCAGATCAGAGACGGACGCTGGCATCAGACCCACTTCATCTTCCAGAGCCAAGACCCAACTTTGCTTCCCATCATAGATGTGCACAATTTGCCAACCACAGAGCCCGGCGCGCGGTTTCACCTCGAGGTCGGACCTGTTTGCTTCCTGTAGCGCCGACTCTGAACACTTCACAAAGGAGCGACTGCATTAAAGCTTTGAAACGGAGGAAAAACATCAATGATTTTTGTACTTTCCAAAACAACAAAACCCTCCACCGTCCCTATGAAAAATGCTTGGACTGCAAAAATAAAAAGACAAAAACAACAGCAGGGGCACTATAAAAAGACAGCTCATTGAAATTGCAGAGATAAAACTTCTGTCCCAACTGATAGCAGAGACTTGGTTGTGTGACACAAGAGCTGGCTGCCTCCTTCGGAAAAATTAGACGGGCTTCTTAATCTTGTCATCTCTGAAACCTTGTATATTTTTCTTCATGGTCTGACGAACCGTTCTGCAAAAAACTGTACAGAAATATGGAAATTATACATCTTGAGATGAAGTACTGTTTATAGATGTAAATGTACTTTGTACTGTGCGTTGAAGTGCAATTGCTATAGTTTGCGACGTGTAGGGATATACAGTCATATCACCCATTCAGGTATGCAGCGTTACTCCAGGTGTTTCTGCGTGAGCCTCAATTAGCAGCTCGGTGATGAGTGTTTGTGCAGGTATGTTCACAGTGTTGCGTGGCACTTTCAGTGCAAACGTGGAGCAAAGATGTCAAAAATGCTACCTCGCTCTGCACCGCTCAACTCGACAAAACTGAAGCCACGACCTGATCTAATCTGGGACGACGTAGAGGTGACACCTGGTGCTGAAGCTGTTCACACTCTGGGGATAAACTCTGGCAGTGATCATCAAAGCTATCTCTGTGCTTTAAAAGGGAAGAATGTAAAGTACACACACACACACACACGCAACATTTCTTGAAGTATCATCTTGGCAGTTTAACGTTTTTTTTGTATAATTTCAACACTATAAGTTAAGTTTTTCTTGTCAAAATGTAAGTTTATTATCTGCAACCATTTAGTATCAATAATTTCTATTTAAAAGTTATTTAAGTATTCAGTAGCTCTCCACCTCAGAAGCAGGCACCAGCGCTTTAAAGGTTATTTAAGATGCAACAAATATGATTGGTCTCGCCAGTCTGTGATCTCAGAGGACTTCTAACATGACAGAATACAATGTAAATCTCAGTGTTTGTTGTGTGATCAATCTTTTTTTAATGCTGAATAACGTTTTCATGACTCCACAGGTAATTGAGATAAAGTGTGAAACTCTTTAGAAACAACTTTTATATACGTGATTTAACAAGATAAAATAATTTTCAAAGAATATGAAAAACATGACTCAGTGATCCTCACAGTGTTAAATATCCAAGTTTACATAAAGTTGTAAACTTGCATAGTAAATATTTTAAAGAATACAATGAGTATACTGCATAACAATCATTTTCCTATTTTTAATGAGCCAACTGTATGAAAAACAAAATGCCACAAAGCCCTATTGATATGTTTTCAGCTGCGTATGTTGGATTTACAGTACATTTTTTAATGCTATACCTTTAACATATTAACCGACAAAATGTTACTACATCCAACAATATTACACTTGAACTTTATTACATTTTAGATGGCCAAAGTTGTTACATTATTTGCAGACATTAAATTACTCTAAGTTACTATTAATACGTCTACTTTTCCTTCCTGGCTTCTGTGATAAAACAAACAAACCAACAAAAACTTCACTGTCACTGAGACCCTTTATTCAAATGCCTTTATTCTCCGGCTTTTGCATTTTAACATCCCTCATCTTGGGCACATGGCATGGCGACCCCCATCAATCGGTAGGTTCACCCCAGTGATGAAGCTGGCAGCGTCGGACGCCAGGAAGGCGATGCTGTGCGCCACCTCGTCCACCTCACCCGGCCGGCCCAGGGCGTGCGTCTGCTTGCACTTTTCAAGAAACTGCGGATGGAAAGTCAACAAAATATCAAAAATGTTTAGATGTGTGAAGAGTGTTGTGCAAATTCATGTAACAATGAAATCCAATTCAGACTGTAACGGCTAATATTTTTAATAATCAAGTATTTGTTAGGACGTATAATAAATGACGCACAAATAAACTGCGATTGGTACCGATAAATGGACTGTTACGAGCCCCAATCTTTAATCAAACAGACCAATTCCATTCATTTCTTATGATCCTGTGACTTGAACCGGTCAGGAAAAGAAGTGTTGCAACTACTGACTGTTTACAGTTTTCCTTTTTTTACAACACAGTATAACAAATCTGTTTTAACAGTGGTGTGCTTGCAGTCCAATTTAAACAGATTGCAATTTGAAATTTGTTTCAAAAAAGCCTACATCAGGTAAAACGGACAACAATGACATAAAACGCTGTCTGTTCAAAAGTCTCTCATACGAAATAGACTCAGTTCGACCAGCATTTGTTGTTTTATTACCTGGGCATACTGGTCTTCATCCAGTCCAGCTCTTCTGTGGACATCTGTGATGATCACTCCAGGACTAAAGAGATTAAAAACACAAATACAGAATAAACATCTTATAACAGAACACACATTTAGTTCTGTGGAAGTAATAATTTCAGAAAAAGAAACGACAAATGCTTCCAGTCACGTACCAGACAGAGTTTACTCTGACATGCTTCGATGCCAGCTCTACAGGTAAAATGAAGCAGTTATATAATGCTCAGTATATGTAAATGCAGTGCAGCACTTTCTATTAAAAATGATATTTATCTTACCAAGAGCTATACAACGTGTAAATTGGTCAATGGCAGACTTGGACATGCAGTAAGCCAACACACCAGGGAACTGAAAAGAAGAAACATCTCAATTTTTACAACGTTTAAAACAAAACGTATGATGCACATGTTTTACAGTGTTTAAATTAACAGTTTGCATCCCAATGGATGAACTTTATCAATCCCTCCATAGGAAAATGTATGTGTCCCAGCAGCAAAAAACAAAACCGCAAACTGCAATAAACGACTCACAATGGCAATCAAATCACAAAAAAATCCAATTTCAGTAGAAAACAATATAAGATGCAAGATGACTAAAAGCTATACACCATCTTAAAAAAAATAGTTGATTAAGAAGGATACCCACAGATCTCTGCCCATTCACACTGGAAACATTGACGATGGAGCCTTTGGTCTTGATCAGGTGAGGTACACAGAGCTGAGTCAGGTGGTAGACCGATCTGATCAGGGAAACAGAAAAGATACAGTCCCAGAAAAATCAGCTTAAGAATCAAATATGAAGTCACTATCATCTAAAAGTGGGTCTAAAATGACAGATTCCTTGACAGGAAAGGTATTATCATTGCTGAAGGGAAAATAATCCCACATCTGTGACTGGATTCAGCAGTGTGATAACAGCAATATCACTCCTGCCCACAAACATTCACACGATTTGTGTCAGGCGGCTTTTTGCTGCTGCTGAGATCTGATGTTTGTGTTGAGTTAATGCTGTTTGGGAAGCTGTGGGTAAAGGGAATGTTTTTTATGACATGCTGCTTTCTTTCAATGTTCACCTTCATTTAACACACAAATTGAACTGATGTTCTGGAAAGTGTGATAAATGAAACAAGAGAGAGAAAACACATCAAATGCTACTCCAAAGGTCTCTTTGTCCTTCATTTCGCTTCAACTTAGTTTATATTTATAGCATTCATTCACAACGACGATTGTCTCAAGCTGATACATTTCTAGTTTATGTATATAAATATGGATTTAAACAGGAATACAAGAAAACAGAGAATCACTGGCCCTGAGGTACTTTCTATGTTAAAACACGTTCAAGTGTTTTATCTATACAGAGAACAGATTAAGTTACGGACAGCAGTAGCTCAGGTCCTTTTGTTGAATGGTGTCACAGCTAAAAAGAAATGCTGTTGTCGATGATGTAATATGCTACCCAGAGAGAAAACAGAACAGAAATGTAACAGAAGCATAACCTCAAATAATGAGTAATTGGAGAGTAGTAGGAAACGGTAGTATAGTGAGGAAAGATGTCATGTATGTATGTTTACACTGGAATGACTGGAATTAATATTAATGTTTTTGAGTTTGTGGAAGAACTTGTAGCCAAATGTAAATGGTCAAAATGTCACTGGAAACGTCCAAGAAGATGTTTGTGATTATGTTTCCAGTAATTATTGAGAAAGGTATGAGTAATTTTAGACACATTATTTTCAGTAATGTAGAACATTAGAAATGTGGAATGTAACCCAAAGCCCTTAACAACAAAAATAATCTTCTGGCCAGAAACAAACTTATTGCTGCCTAAAAATCTTTGGGGGGCTTAACCCTATTTTATGCTACTGGAGCAAAATAATATATTAAAAAAAGCAAAAGTCTATAAAAAGGTTTGTTTATCTAGAGAAAGTAGTAATATACATTTAAATTTAATGTCCTACTACAAATAGTCATAGCCAATAATCATACAATTGCAAAACAGGCATGCAAGATTGGAAAAACAATAGATTAAATTAAAATGTACTAAGCTTCTTTAAAAAATATGCAATAACAAATGGATTTTCTTAATACAGTGGGTACATCATCACAAACATTTTCAAGACAAGGTTCACAATACATTTGCATAATAGCAGTTTTTCCACCTCTGAATAAATAAACACATGTAAGACTGAAAAAGCTGCTTCATGGTGGGGAGAAAAATTCATAACAGGATTTTTTTTTCTTTTTTATAAATTCACAGATGCCACAATTATCACTACCTCAAACAGCCTCTAAAAATAAACGTCATTAAATCATTATTATTATCTATACTTTAAATGTTTCAGCTCATTGGATTATTTTAATTAGTAAACCTAGACTGTTTTTGTCTGGGGTGTCAATATAAAACTACAGAGACCTCATTTCTCTGTCCACCAGGCCGCATGAGCGTCATGTTTGTCCTGTCACCATGTTCAGCACGGAAGATGATGAGAGGTTAAAAAAATCTCTAATGTTGACAGTGAACTGTAGAAAAGAATAGCATTGGTGTCATCAAGTCTCCATTAAAACTTAAAATAAAACCCATCTTCATGCTAACTAGTTGTTTAGGAGTGATGGAAGGAAAAGCATTTTTAGTCCAAATTTCCACAAACTTAAAAATGTGAAATTTGCTAAAAACCTTCTAGGATTTACCTAGAATGCAACAAAATGAAGAAGTTTATTGCTCAGTGAAAGATTATACTACTGCAATAAAAGATGAATTTATTTTTGGACATTTTAAACCTCTTTATCAGGGGTACTGATAAAAGAAGAGGGCAGAGATGGAGCATATGGCTTAAAAAATTAATAAACTGCTTTTACTGGTATTAAATGGTAAAACAAGCAAATTCATTGGTTCAATTATCAGAAGAATAAAAGTTTTTCTTTTTTACATTTTTGAATAGAATTGGAAGACATTTAAGAATTTGTTCTATTATCTAAAGAAGTGAAAATTGTATTTCTTATATGCCTTTTCAAAATACAATTTTAGGGGTTAGTTCACCTGATTCAGTTACTCTAAACTTGGTGCCTTTTGCAAAGCTTTAGTATCAACACCCTACTGTCTTGCAAACTAAATCTATATATAAGGCACTAACAGAAAAGACAAGATTGATAAGGTAAAGCCCTCCCCACACTCCTCTGATATCTTATATTAAAACGTCTGATGTTTTAATATAATATATATGTATAATTAATCCAAGAGGTGATGACAGTTTGGATGCCGAGGAAAAATGAGACTAAACCTATCAGGTTACAAGCAACATGAAAGAACCGTCAGATATTTTTTTGAGAGGGGTGAGAAGATTTTTTCCTCGTAGTTTTAAAACCGTAAAACATGCGATACAAAAACACCAAATGCTAAACTACAAATTTCCCCCTAGACTCATCATCTGACATATAAAGGGGAACACAAGAAAGAAAAACAACTGATACCAATCTGAGATTATTCCTGAGAGTCGTTCTTTTAATAATCGAGAAGGCAATAAAAGTATTTTGCCCGGAGCTGCAGCAGCAACAGCTCAAGGAGAAAATAATGAATTTTTATCACATGGAAAACAGAAACACAAGGTTATGATTAAAAAACTCCTTTTTCCCTCCTAAATTGTATTCATAATTCTTCAAATGATGTGAAACTTTCATATTATAATGAATGTAATCTATTAACGCCTAATGGGATTTTATTTTTAAACTGTACTCAATGGCTGCACATGATCAAAAACAGCATTAGGAGTTCATACAATAAGGATACAAACTTCCATTATTCTTCAAGGTGCATGAAAGTAAATTAAAAAATGATTAAAACCTTTTTACTTCCAGTAATTGTTGCAGATATGTGTGCTTCCCTCTGCTGAAAAGCTTTCTGAAGATGCAGATTTCATCTTGATTATTGACTAGGGAGTATATGTTCTTGACTTGCCAGGAAACACATGTGACCAATAGGGATTATATGGAATGTTTTTCAATAAGAGGATGAGATAAGCTGAACACAACAATGCAGACAAGCTAAAGGACGCTATTAAAGCAACCGGCGCTTCCTTAGCACCCCAGGAGCAGATTTGTTTCAGTCTTTCAGCTAATTTACTGAAATAAATTAACTTTTCTATGATGAACTGACCAAACCCCATCTCTTACAACAAATAGCCCAAAATTAAATTGTTGAATTTTAAATTTTATGATTCCAAATGTATTGAAACCTGAAATCTAATGGCTGAAAGTTTCAGCCATCACGGAAACCCTCTCTGGGAGAAATATATAAAGTGTGTTATTAGAAACAATCAACATAAAAATCAGACAAACTCATTAGGTATGCCACACAACAGACGAGGCTGAAAATAAATATTAAATGGCTTTGAGGCCCCTAAGAAAGCTCTGGAATAAAGAGAAATAGCAGAGCAGAGGAAAGTGCAGCAAGGCATAAAACACTGTTTAAACTGTACCTTGAAACAAACACTTATAAATGATCAAGATAAATAAATGCAGCTGCCTTGCAGGCACCTTGAGGTCACATAAAACGAGCTAAAGTGTTGAAGCATCTTTTGGTTGTACCACACAAAATTACCTTTTAAAGAAAAAGGAAAAAAAAAAACAACATCAGATTGATTTTAATCTCATGAGAAAAGTTCCTTTTCTGACATCTAAATCAGTGTGAAACTGAGTATCACAAATATCTTCTGAGTTTGAGTTACTAACAGTCTGTGGTGACTGAAAAAAACAGACTGATTAGACATTAAAACAATGCATTTCTATGTATTTTGTGCACTCAGAAATATAAATCCAAAAATGAGTTTAGCAGACTTTCTAAATGTAGTCTGAAAAGGATTTTAAATCATTAATATTTATTCTTTCCTTAAGGAATAGGTATAGTATAAGATTATAAAAATGGGATTTGTCAGTCTCTACTTTTTTGAAAAAAGAAATTGTCGATTTTATGTGCTGATTAGTTTCCACAGTTCAATCTTTGTAAGTCTTTTTCTATCACCTTCATCAATATTAAACCTTTGGAAGAAAGAAAAACATTAACACAAGAATTAAAAACATAACTTGAGAGAACTGATGGTATGTTACTGAACACAGAGTTAACTGGGGTCCTTAGAAAAAAAAGATAGTTGAAGAAGCAGGATTCTGGCCACGCCAAGTTCTACATTTACATGGATTTGAGTAGTGTCTCCTGTGAATCCTACCTGACGTTAACATTCATGATCTTGTCATACTGAGCCAAGTCTGAGGTCTCAATGCTGCCCATAGCCAGGATGCCAGCGCTGTTAACCAGGACATCCAGCCGGCCAAAGCGGCTAATGGTTTGATCCACAGTCTTCCTCACTGTGTCTTCATCAGTCAGGTCTCCAGGAACAAGCAGAGGCTGTAGAAGAAAACTGATGCTATATTATTATTCATTTGATAAAAACCTAAAATAAATAAATAAATAAAAATTTTACACTTGCAGTAAAATGTTTTTTTTTTTTTTTTTTTTTTACAATACAATCCTGAAGCAGTAAAATGTAGTCATGGTGAACTAGGAGAAGATCATTCACATAGTTTTCATTCATACAGAATTCTGATAAGCAATAAATATGTTTAACAAACACTGACACCCTAGCCAATCTGCTCACATTTACTAGATATTGGCTAATTATTGTGGTTATTAACGGAAATTGTTTAAATGCACCTGTTTATACTTTTGGCTCAATGCAAATTTGTACACAGTTGTACCTCAGCAGCGCCACATTCGACGCACTGCTTGGCTATTTTCTGCAGGTTCTGAACGTCTCGGCCGTTCAAAGCCAGCAGAGCTCCGAGTTTAGCAAACAGCACGCTGGTACCAGCCCCGATCCCAGAGCTGGCCCCCGTTATCAGGGCCACCTTCCCCCTCAGTGATGACACCTGCAAAAAAACAAAACAACAAAACAAATAGAAACTGAAACTATCAGATGACTCTGTACCCAAAGGTAAACAAACATGCAGAAGTAAGATTTTCTTCAACTGCATTTCATGAAAAAGCCGAATTACCCATCCAAAAGTATATGGACTCACTTTAAACGCGTCCTCTGAAGCCATTTTTGGACGCTTTGCCAGAAATGTCTATGGCTTCGAATCCAGGACCAGCATGGTCTGTCCACTATTGATGACGTAATATGACGAACCAGCACTAGATTTGTAGTTTATTAAACGAACTGATGCTAACAGGTGCCTCCCAAAAAAACAAGAATCAATTCTAAAAGTAAAACTTTTGTCTTTTAGACACGCAGTGATATAATTTGGTAGTTTATTTTTGTTTATCTTAATAACTATGGCGTCATAAGACGGACCACAAGGTCATTTACGACTACAATTCAAGAGTGTTGCAAATTTGCCCCAAATTAGGGTATTTCACTGAATTGTTACAGTATTTCTACAAATGGAAAATGTTTGTACAACGTAAAGTATTAGTTTTTTTGCTTTCATTTTGACATGAAAATGTGTTATTAGGGCCACATGGGAAAAAGTTTGTACACCCCTGTGTACAGGTAGCAAAACCCCAAATCCCTTGAGAACATGAAAAAGGTAGGAAAAAAGGTTTTGGTATCACATACCTTCCTGGAATTATTGGAGGCTATTTTAACCCAATAATAAATTCTTCAAACATGCTAGAAACAGTCAAAGGAACACTCCAGGTTTGTCAAAATTACATTATGACATGACACAGCTAAAAAAGTTTAATTTTAGATAAAAGCCCCCCCTTTAAGTAACCAACAGTGGATTATTTAAATTGGATTCAGTTTGTTATTAAACTAGTAACTTTTCAGCAGTAGTCTTGACCACATATATAATGTCAGGCAGATTTTGTGTCCATGCAACGCTGCACCTATGCTTTAATGCAAAAAGGAGCCCTGATCGAGTATTGGGAACATAGAACACATTTATTTTTCACTATGTCATCATTTATGTATTAAAATTTTTCATTTTTTATGCAATATAGAATACCAATTTTCAAACAGAAAAAGGTGCATGAAATATATCCAATGAATCAATAGGAGTTTGATTTGTTGAGCTAAATTATAGAAATTGATCAACTTTTCAATGACATTCCAATAAAATGAGATGCACCTGGAATTCTGCCCAAACTTAAGCTTCTCAGCAAGTTTTCTCAATAGCATAATGCAATACCAGACAACACACAAGTATACTGAAAAATGTATTTATTTTTTTTATTAATAAAATCAAAAAAAGAAAATGAAGCAGGAGAAGGGTTGTGAACAATTTTAGAACAGATAAAAATGAAAAACCTTTTCTGAAGGAACTTGAGTTTCATACATGGAACTAAAAAAAAAAGTGTCTAAAGCACAAGCAAGTTGTGTATTTCCTTATCAAAACAACTACTAAGAACTTTGGAGCTTCATAGTCAGTTCTTGCCCGGTGTAGCTGTGTTTTTTTTTGTTGCAGTTACTTTTCTCCCTTTGACAAGCAATCAATTTTAACTTTGGAAAGGCACTGTATCTTCTGCCTCACTGAAGCAACAAAGAACAGGTCTGAATATCTGTGCCGAGAGTCGTCTATCCAGCAAATGGGTTGGCATGAATGGTCACGTCCTTTATCCGGCTCTCAGTGAGCGGCCGGAATGTCTTCTCATTCACTGGCAGCTTCTCCAGCTCATCCAGCGTTTCCAGACCATCAATAATCCTGCAAGAGGAAATAAAGGGAAAAGGAAATTAACTTCAGAAGATATATTAAAAGTGTCTCCTTTGTGTTCGAATTAGAATAAATCAATAGGTAATCTAAGAATCATTACAGCTGTATTTTGTATAAGTTTCATACTTTCCAAACACGGTGTACTTCATGTCCAGATGAGGTTGTTTGGCATATGTGAAGAAAAACTGGGAACCATTGGTGTTGGGGCCATTATTTGCCATTGACACCACTCCTCTGACATTGTGCTGCAAAGTAAGAGAAACCAAGTAATCCTGCTGCACTCTTATGTTTAAGCTGGTCCCAAACAACACTTTGCTCACCTTTAAGTGCTCACTGAATTCATCTTCAAATTTACGACCCCATATACTTGTTCCTCCTTTGCCTGTACCTGAAGAATTTTTTAAAAAATCAAATAATCAATCAAGAAAAAAATCCAGAGATAGTGAGAATGTCAGGAAAAGGTCATGTTTGTGTGTAATAAACTCCATACCTGTCGGGTCTCCGGTTTGAACCATAAAGCCTTTTATGTTTCGATGAAAGGAGCAACCATTATACAACCCACTTGCACACAAAGCCAGGAAGTTCTGTGAAGTAAATAAGATCCCAGTGATTTCCACATGAAATCAAGATTGAGTCTTCTGCTGCCTTTTCTACTCTAACTTTTTAGGTTTGCAATCACAAAACTGGCTGCTCTGTGTCTTCAATTACAACTTTCCTTGTCGTAAGAGGCCGCAAACAAAGATGTTCTCACACCTGGTACAGAATGGAGGACGACTTACAATACATTCTTCCTTTACTGTGGCAAGTCTCATAGTGAAAAATAACTATACCTAAAAGCAATATTGCTACATATGAAAGAGCTTATGTTGAACAACTGCATGGCAAATAAACAAATAGAAATAGAATATCCTTCTGTTTGAACACAGAAGGATATTCTGTATTCTCAACAGAGCAAAACTCCTATACAAATCTTTACTAGAGTCGGTAATAAAGCTGTCTGGGTTTGTACCTAATGACAAAACAAATCATCTCAGAGCTCAATGTTGTTAGATTCTAACATTTATTGTCCTAGCACGTTTCAATTTTCTGAGCTCAGTCTAAACATACTAAGTGAATACAGCTATTCCAGAGATACTGTCGAGGCTTTATCAGATCCTAAAAGCAGCTTTAAAACTCACCTCACACGATTTAGGAGCCCGCTCACAGAACAGCTCAATCTTAATGTCTCCCAGATCTGTGTGGAGGGTAACTGCCTAAACATGAACATGAAATTAAAAACAAATATTACAAACAACGGAATCAAAGAGGCTTATTTGACACACCGAGCATTTCAGCTCAAATTGACAAATAACGCTGTTACACCCGCGGTGTTAATATGGTCATTAGGTCATTAGTATCTGTAAAACACGCCGTCCCTTAATCGATTAGGAGAATGTTAAACTATTTGAAACGCATCCCAAACTTTTTATAAAATGTTACAAAGAAATTACCATTTCAAATGTTGCGTCTATGCTGTGGTGCATACAACAAACCCATCCGGCTGGAATAGAGTACCTCGGTTAATGGTTCCGCGAAGAACTACTGAGCGTTGCTTGTCAGGACTGTTCATGTCTATGTTCAGGGCAAACTGAGTAAAATTTTAGTCCTGTGTTAATGCATCCGTTTACAGCTAACTCAAAACATTTTTTTCGTTGGGTTATTTTGTTGGTTTATATAAAAGGAAAACAATCAAATGTGCACAATGTGTGTGAAAATTAGTGTTGTTAAGATGTCCCAACAGGATCTTGAGCAACTCATCCTCGCAGGTCTGTCTAAAAAATGTGACTCCTTCAGCTGGTCCAGAATGCAGCTGCTCACATTCTTATTAAGGTTAGGAATATAGAGCACAACCCCCCAACTCTAAAGTCCTTAAACTAGATCCCTGTAGCTCTGAAAATACTTTTATTAGTTTTTATATTACTGAATGTTTTACCACCAAATACATTAAATATCTGCTGTTGTTTTCTTAACCTTTCAGATCAATCAGTCCAGTTTCAGAAACCAGGATAAATGAAAATCCTGAGGAAGTTCTGGGGTAACTATGTGCAAGTCCTGGGTTTTCACTTTCAGAAAGAAATAATTTATTTGTGTTAATGTTAATACATAAACACAATGAAGAACAATTTGTACCAGAAATGAAAGATATGATAATGAAGAACAATTTGTACCAGAAATGAAAGATCAGACAATTTTCTTTCAACCTAGTTTATTTTGTTGTTCTGGGTGGTACACAAGAAAACGAGAAGCAAGTTTAAATAAAACAGCAAGACACTATAGCATGAATAATAATAGTGTTGCAAAAAATATTCAAGATTCTTTTTTTTCTTCATGTTTTGGCAACAAAAAGTTACTCAATAAAACTTAATGAGCACATCTTATTGGAAAAGAGAAACACTGATGAGTTTTGTACCCACAAAAAAAAACTATCATGAACAACAGGAGAAAGCCCTATAATTCAAACACACATACTGGTCCTTTGTAATACAACACATCTAAAAAGTAGCTAATTTATACATGATCAATGGTAAAATTTTGTTAATTATTAAGCCAAGGGTTTTATTTTTTCAAAACATCTTTAAAAAATAATGAAAATAGCACACAAAATGTTCCTAGCAGTTTAGATCTAAACAAAAATTGTGCATTACAAAAGGTGAACAAAAAAAAAAACAAAAAAAAAACAATAGACAACCAATAGAAGATTTCTAGCTGGATTCCTGAGAAACTATTTCAATATAATACCTGACATAATAGAAGAAAAGTTACAAAAAGTTTAAAAAAAGAGAATGAGACAAACATGGTCTATGCACAACTTTCCAAGCAAACTATGGGGAATGTTTACTCACAACAATTTCACTTTTTATTTTACACTTGGTCAAAAATGTTGATTGTCTTATTAAGAGGACTATGTCCAACAGGTTTTGTAAGTTTTAAAGGTAATGAATCCTAATTTACACACTTTGTTTTCCTGGTATGCAATCACCCAACAGCAAGACAAACAACATGCACAATACATCTCGTATATGTTAGTTTTGTGCCATTATTGCATTTGCAAAATGTAACATTGTGGGAAAATGTGCTAGAGTACAAAAGCATTCTCCAGAAAAGCATAATTTTAAATGACCTACTTCACCTACAATATTTTAAATCCCTGTAAAAAAACAACCACCCGCCCCAAAAAAAAAAAAAAAACAGTGCATCAAAAAGGATGCTGATGCCCTCACACCTGTAAAACCCACATTTAGTTTAAATGAAGGCAATATTGCACAATTTATCATAACTACACATGCTACTGAATTAGATGCACATGGCTTAAAATGTGTTTCATACTTCTCAGCAAAGTTGAAATATTGTAGACTTCTATTTGTCTGAGTGTTTTTTCACCGTCTTCCCTGACTGCTTCACTTCATGAAACACCAAATAGCAACAAAGGTTTTTTTCTTGTTTTAATATTAGAAACCCTAGAAAAGTGACCTTCAAACATAAAAAAAAAAAAAAAAAAAAATTTTTACTTCAATTTGAACACTTAAAACAGTTGAGGAAAAAAACCCTTTAAATTAAAACAACATAATTGGGTACATAAACATGAGATCCATGTGACAGAAAAAAAAGTGAACAAATAATGAATTTAGCACATTTTACGTCAACAAACTCAAGTTAGATTTCCAAACCTTTACTTGTTAGCTTATATGAAAATAAAGTTATGAGCGGTATTGTAACAAAGCAAGAATGCAATATTATGAAATGTCTAGCTTAGCTGCAAAGGTAACTACTGGTGCCAAATGTAGTAATAGTTGAATGAGTAAAAATGACATGAGTTACACAGAAGAGCAACACAAAGGGCAGGCATATCCCCTTCCATAAGAAATGATATGGAGTGCTGACAACTAAAGATAAATATTTGGACTCAAGGATGACATAAAGACATAAAACAAAATTTCTATCTGTATGAATTAGGACTGGGCCTGTGTGACGGTATCAAGCTACAGAAAAGCTTTCAAGAGTCCGTCCTAGGAGCTGACTCTTCGAGAGTCAGACCTGCTGTAGATGCCTATGTAACACCAAACCACACAACAAAGACAAACCCTAACTGTTAAGAAAGATAATCCTACAATTTCTTTATTAATTAATTTGAAGCAATGTTTTTCTTTTTACGTAAAGGAAGTTTTTCACAAAAGTGACAATGTGCAAAGGTTAAAATATCATTATACACTGCTAAAAAATATTTATCTTCCCAAAATGTTTTCTTGGCCCAGCCCTGAAGGATGTTAGCTTAACTATAATTGGATTGAATTTATGCAGTGCTTTTCAAGTTATACCTACGACTCAAAGTGTTTGTGGTTAAGTGCCTTTTAAAAAATCGCACATCCTGGAATCAAACCCACAACTTTTAGATTACAAGACTACTACTCTTCCTACTGGACACAAGTCACCCCGATTAAATAATCCAAGCTTCTTCTCTAAAATGTTATCAGCAGCTACAGCAAGTAAGATACTAAATGTTCTCATTCTCTCCACTAAATCCGACTTCAAAAGTCACAAATTTTTAAACAACTTTTGTTCAAAATCTACTTACATTTTAATTGTCTTTTTCTTTTCTTCTTTAATTTCAAACACAGCACACCGAACAGAATTTGATCCACTCCACCTAAAAAACCCCCAACAGGCCCTGAGTCTTAGTTGTACAAAACATTCCTTAATGATGCCTCTTTAAGTAACATTTTGTGGAAAGATTTATCCTTAAACTTGAGGATAAGAACACAAATGGCTTCAGAATGAGGTCAAAAATCCAAATTATTTTCAAACCTCAATCCAAGTCTGACCATGCACAGTCATTTTGCTGCAGTAATGCCACCAAAATTTCCCTAAAGACAACTTTATATCTCTGACTACAGCACTTTCAGTTACCTCTAATGTGTTTCATATCATATTTTCAAGACTTTACCAACCAAGTCAGCACAGGTATCTGAGAACCAGGGCCCACAATGCAGAGCAGGAACACGTTGATCCATGTCGTAATTAGGCTAACATTAGTGTTGTACAAGGGATACGCTGCTACACCTTGTAGAAAAGTGTTTACTTTGTAAGGTTGGCAATTTAGCTTTGGTTGTTCATATAAACCCCCAAGAGTAAACATGATATTTTCAAAAGAAAAGTATAAATAGGGAACTATTTTGGAATTCAGAGCAGCCCACATATGTTCAGTTGGCCAGTAGTTTTCTTTTTACAGTTTTTTCCTCTAAACCATTAATACCACAAAATAATACTGTAAACAAAAGATCGAGATCATAATGGCACTGGCCTCGGAGGTTTTACAAAAGAGAAATAAAAAAACAAGCAGCAGATGCCAGAGTCAGCATTTGCTCTGCTAAACTGGCACTGGTTTAATACCTAACTTTACTGGCAGAACACTGAAGCGGGAGCACATCCTGTTTCTTTGTGCCTCAGGGACACCATGGGCTTCCACTCTGTATCCTGACCAAAGCACGCGGCATCGTTTGGTTTCCTCACAAACGAGTTCATGCTTGTTCTTTGTCAGCTTTCCACAATTGCTCCTTAGCCTCGGTGGGCAGCGTGTTGAAGAGGTCCTCTTCGACCACAAGACCGCTTCTCTTCAGCAGTCTGCACTCTCCCAGCTCCACAGGCAAACACTCCAGACGGTTTCCTCTGAGCTCCAGCTGAGTCAATGCGGTCAGCTCTCCGAAGCGCGATGGGAGGGACTGGAGGCAGTTGTTCCCCAGGTTCAAGGTGCGAAGCTTTTTGCAGTGGAACAGCTCATTCGGCAATGTTTCGATCTTTATTTTACAGAGTGTGGAGAGTTGCATTGGGGACGAAAAAAGAGAAGAAAATCATTAAATGAAGGCACTAAAGCTTAACATATGTAACATATGTAATATACAATAATATAAAATGGAACATCTTGTAAAAGTTTTACCATTCATTGAACGTCTCCACATTCTGTCACATTTTAAACATAAACCTCAATGTATTTTACTGGGATTTCATGTAATAGACCGACGTAAAGTAGTGGGGAGACTTAAAAAATGGGTTGGACTTTCTGGCAAGGTACAGGCCTAGTTCAAGTTTTACTTAAAAAAAACAAGGTATTCCTTGTGTCACTAAGTAACTTTTCATCGGAGTTGTTACAAATCACATGCGGGATCCCCCAGGATCAATCTTAGGACCCCTCCTATTTAATATCTACACACTATTGTGTGTAGATATTAAACACATAGCAAGATAAGTTACCATAAATATGCAGATGATGCCAAGCTCTAAATCACAATGTCACAGGGTGACTATGAACCCATTCAAGCATTCATTGAGTAGATGCAAAAAACAAATCAATGACTGGATGTGGTACAACATTCTTCTGCTGAATAAAACCAAACGTTAAGTAATTCTTTTTGAACCAAAGGTGGAGTGATTAAGAGTGACAATTTCAATTATTACATCTAGAAACTACAGATCAGGCCCAAAATCAGGGTGTAGTGATGGACTCAGATCTGAACCATTAGAGACACATAAAGACATTTAAAAAGTCAGTCTTCTATCATCTGAAGGATATTTCCAGGATTACTTACAAGAAGTTGAAAAGCATATGTGTTTATGTTTAGTTACATTGTTTACGGAAACAGTGTCTTCAGTGGTCTGCCTAAAAAAAAAAAAAAATCAATCTGATCTAGAATGCCGCTACCCACGTCATCACAAGTACCTAAAATAGAAAATATCCGTTGTAGCTGAGACATTAAGTTTTATTTTGCTGGTTTATAAATCACTCAATAACTCAGCATCAAAATATATTCGAGACTTGTCGTATTAACCCTCCAAATCTCTCAGGTCTTTTGGTTCAAGTCTACTTTCAGTTTTTATGCTTCTTTAATTTGAAGCAAACTTTCAGTAAACTGATTTTGCTCCCCACTACTTTATGTCAGTCTATTACATAAAATCCCAGTAAAATACATGTATTTTTTGAGTTCCTTTACCTCACGGCTAAAACCTCATAAGAGTAACCTGCAATAATTATTGACCGGGACATCATTAATTTTAGTCTGCATTTCAACATTTCATTACTTTCCATTAAAGTTTGTTTTATGTATTTTTCCCCACATAAAGCTCTTATAAATTCTTGCTGAAATGTGAAAAATAAGCTTCCTGTGCCATTGCTTTGATAAAATCTCAAATCAAATACGTTTGTGGTCCTGTTACGAAATGAGGAGTGCATACTTTGGCGAAGCAGTTGGAACAAAGAAGAGTGAATTTCAACAACTCACCCGGTTGGCTGTCACTGCCATGTACTGTAGATTCTGAAGGTAACCAATGTCTGTTGGAATGTATGTCAAGTTGTTGTGGCTCAAGTCCAAGACTCGTAGCTTCCGGCAATAAAACAGCTGGCTGGGAATCTTCTCAATCTTGTTTCTGTTCAGATGCAGCTTTTCCAGGTTGGTCAGAGTGCCAATCTGAATGGGAATGTAGGCAATCTGGTTGTACCAGAGCTTTAAGCACACCAGCCGATGAAGGTGCTGGAAGCTGATTATCTCCTCGATGGTCTTTAGGTTGTTGTCCTTCAGATCAATCTCCTGTAGGTTGTGCAAACTGAAGATGGAGTGTGGGATGCGCTCCAGGTCACAGCGAATGAGCTCCAGCTCGGTGAGGTTCACCATCTTCTTCAGGCTGTTCAGCACCATCAGCTTGGTGCCTTCATTGTTGATAGAGAGCTTCTGGAGGTGTAAACCCACGTCGGTCACAACTTGAGGTAGCTTGGTGAGGTTGCTCTTCAGGCGGAGAACTTTGAGCCTCTTGAGCTCGCGGAGCCCATCGATGACAATGTAACGGTTGTTCTCAGCACTCAGGTTCCCTGTGAGATGAAGCTCACTGAGGTTCTTTAAACTGTAAATCCATAAAGGAATTTCTTTAATGTCGGTGAACTTGATGTGAAGAGACTTGAGGTTCTCTCGCAAAAAAGCCAAGGCGGGAGCTTCGATTTTGGCTGGAGTGTGATAGAGCCACATCTCTCTGAGGTTGACGAGCTGCGCAATGATTGGTGGGATGGTAACATCTGGGATAAGCTCCAGTTTGAGAACCTCCAACTCCATCAGATCGAACACCGTATCTGGAATGCCGCTCAGCATGAACAGGTGCAACTCCAACTTCTCCTGAGAGTTCTTGGTTATCCTCTGCCTGAGCTTGTCAAGCGTCCACTCATTGTTCAGGTTGAGCTGTCTCAGCTTATTTTCACTGACTTCTGAGAGGAACACAGCGAAACGTTTAGAGTACAGAGGATCATACTGGTCTATCATGTGCAACATAAATGCAAAGTCATTCTTCACGTCGGGTATATCGCTGTAACTGCTCTCTTCCCTGATAGATTCGAAGGAGTACTTCTTCAGAGAGCGCCGCAGCATCCAGCAGAGTGTGTACATGCAGATAAGTCCATACACGACCACTAAGCAAATGTAGAAACACGCCAAGATTTTAAAAAGTGTCGCCAGTGGATGAGCACAGTGGTACACTCTGTAACCAGTCAGGTTTTCTATATTCACAGAGCAGTCCACATTAAACTGAATGTCTTGAACATAATACCCCGTGTAGCAGATTATTAAAATGAACTTGATTACTTTGATGATAGTCTGACGGATGTATAATCTGTACACGATGTCTCCTTCTTCCACGTGGATACGGAACTTCTTTACTTTTTCAAACAGGGCTTTTGCCTGTTCTCCTTCTTTCTTGTCCAAAACTCCCGTTTCAGTCCTATCAACGATGCCTTGCTCAAAACGCGTCTTTGTTTTCTGAATCATTGGAACGCTTGCTTCAACATCCTCACTTATCACAGACGCCTTGTGGTCAAACGATCCATTCATCTTCATTGGTTTGGGATCGCTTTCTTCGACCACCGTCTCCGACAGTGCCCTTGTTGTCCATGGAGAGTCAAAACATTTAAGCAAGATGGATACAAAGTGTTCTAGTTTGGAGCTAGTCCGAGGAAATTTAAACCAAAAGTTGCTACAGGCTAGAAAAATAAGAGTGTGGAGTAATACCAAATAGGGAAAGTACTTGGCAAACCAGTGCAACTTATTTTCATAGCACACTGCATCAACGTAATTGTACTGATGGCGGTCCAGATTGTACTGGATCCCTTTCGGTTCCAATAGGAAGGATGTGGACATGGTGGAGCTGAAGTTCTTTTTACAGGTTTCATTGACGATCCATTTGCAGGGAAGGCAGATCATCTTGTCCTGGGTGATCTGAAGTGTGCCGCCAAACACCGAAATCATGAGCATAACAATGGAGATGTAGTCGGTGAACACATCCCACCATGGTTTCAGGATGCGGTATGCTGGCTGTGTGTCCACAAAGTACCGCAGCTCAGTGATGGGGATCATGGCTCATCTGTGAGAGGGAAAAAGAAAGGGTTAATATCACTGGTCTGCAGGAAACAATTCCTTTTTTTTCCAGTTCTGACAAAAACAACAAAATTAAGCTGGCAATTTAATACCTCCCAAAATTTAACCCTCCCAAAAACCCAAAAATAGAGTCGAGCATTCATATCAGAAAGTACCCATCTTTGATTCTAGAGTTTATTGTATTAATGATCTCATAAATTACCTTTTGAACAAATATGGTTTATATCATAGGTTGAATTATTTTACATCCGTGCCGTGTTTTACTTTGAAGGCTTATTTGAGAGTACCTTCTAAAATGAGGCACTTAAAGGTGAAACACAAGCAATTCAAGGTTGGTTCATATTTTAAAAAGTAATGTGCATTGCTTTTGCTGAATATTACAGTGATAAAGTCACTCATGAACCATCGGTTTGAGAGTTGGTCATTGTTTCTGACAAAGGAGATTCTGCACTAAAAATGTACTTTAAAAAAAAAATAAAACCATGAATTTTTCAGGAGGCAGACTTTCTTTTCACAACCACTCTACATAACCCAAATCAAAAAAAAAATACATGGTAATTATAATCAGCAAGAAAGTAAAAAAATGAAAAGATTGGTTATATATTAGCATTATGCAAACAGGTTAGCATAATGACAGCATTTCAGTGAAGAAAACATACAGAAAAACTTATCATGCATTCAGAAATATTTTACAAAATGAAAAAAAAAAGCTATAACCCTTTATGTATGCTTTGAATTCCCTTTATGCAAGTTAAAGATTTAGTAAAATGTTGCAACAGCATTTCACAGGCAATGTGGAACTTAACTATAACCAACAGCAGTGCAGGTACTTTGCTTGTTCTGCAGCTAAAGAAATGAGTGATAAACATTTTCAACATAAAACTGAACAATAAAGCTTGCATGTTGCTCCGTTAATGTAAGTATTTAGCACTGATGTTGAACACAGACATTAAGCAGCTCCATTACTCTGCTCATTATGGTGGTTAAACAGAGCTCTGATCATGATTATTCATCACATTTATCCACATGGAGCGGTTTAGAGCCGTCCTCCCATTATGACAAATTGTTAAATCTCCACCTGTTGCAGTTTTTATTACACCCGAGTGGAAGCCTGTCGCAGGGCTGCATAATAAGGAAAATTATACAGCTGGAATATTAGTATTATTGTAATGTTACAGCACAGTTCAACAATTGTAATTATCACTTTTTAAGATTCACGTATTTCAATTTGTTTTCTAGAAAATGTCTAATCACTCTACATTGCTGATTTAATTTAATTTTTATATAACATTCTGCATTTAAATAAAAAAAAAAAAACAATTGTCAGTTTTTTTAAGTTAAGGGAAGATTTAAGAAGAAGGTATCAGTCAATATTTTGATTTTCAAGGCAAGTCAGTTCTTGGAGGACAAAATGAAAATGCATTTTTTTACATTAAACGATTGATGGTTTTAAAGAATTATGGCTTCCGTATCAACCCAGTCCTTGCATCATCCCCAAAAAAGAAAACAAAATCAAGATTATTCTTTTTGTAGGACAATAATGTGATAATGTCTTCTTTATCAAAATCACACAGATAAGAGAAACACTATTTTGATTAATATGAAATAACTGCTGTGTACTTAAAGAATATTCCAATAGTGGCATTGGTTGTGATAATATTTTTCAAACCTTTCTCTTTCTTATCCGCCATTTGTTGCTTCTAACTTTTTCTGTAACCTTTAGCATTTGAGGCGCTCTCACTGGAGCCAGGTTTCTGGATTACCCTAAAACAAGCCTTACAATGTTTCTTTGTTCTAAATTATGTTACTCACTGATCTGTCATTCCTCTTACATAATTATGCAAACATTACATCATAACTGATGCTGCACATGTGAAACGAACTAACCCCACCTAATAGAAAGGTTTTAATCCACTGCTAAGCAGGAATAAATCCCTGCTGCATGCAAATTTAATCCACACGTGAAATATGCCCAACTCAAAAGTAGCAAAATGCTGACAAGACATAGATGAAATGCAAAACTGCCTTAGATGGAGATGAAAAACAGAATTACTTACAAATCCAAACTGTGAAGCCCAACAAAGCCATTTATAAAGAAGAGTAGAACTCTCCGTAGCTACCGTCCTTTGTCTCCGCTGTCCATGAAAGCCTGATCCAGCCCTTCAGATCAACCTCTCGCCTCGTGTGACTGCACCACACCCAACATGCACGCTAAAGAAGGCCTTCTTCTAAGAAGACATTCCGTTTTGGCGTGTTTAACCCAAACAACGCGAGCACCAGAGGAGCCACCTCGCTCCCCTCCTCTCTATTCTTAGCCATTTCCGTTAATAATACCCAGAGTATTGTCTGTGGGGGCCTTGAGAAGCACCTCCCTCGACCTTCAGGAGAAGATCCTGTTTACCTTACGGATGCTTCTGTCTCCATCCACTGTCTCTCCGGAATAATACTCTGCCATCACCCCTTGAACTCCCACCTCCCCCAAAACACACACACACACACACACACACACACACACACACACACACACACACACACAACAAGAATAGGGGCTGGCATTCATCACTGCTTGTACTTTGTCAGGAAACTGTATAGTCGAGGAGCCGAGGCGCCTAGTGTGATCTTTTGCCAAAAAAGCAAGCACACCCTGGCTTCAGTGCTGAGGAACTTTTACTCACCTAACAGCATCTCAGATGCAGCAACTTGGATGGGTGGATAGATTAAGCAGCACCAGGTCCACCAAGATAATAAAACACTGGCCAGTTCGGAGGTGTTATCTGAGCTCCAGCCCCTGATGATGTCCCGGGTGAAGCAGCCACTCTCTCAGCAGCCAACAGTCTTCATGGGCCATTTCCTTTTTCATCGCCATGCCAGTTCAACGGGAGATCTGAACAGAAGACATTTAGGGGATGAAAATGTGGTTCCTGCCATTTTCTAGTTTATGTGAACATGGTAAGGCTCAACAGATCTGACAAAGAAATGTATTCAAGCATGTATGATGCTTTGAAGAAAGCAACTATACAGGTTCTTATTTTAATGTTGTGACCTAGGTGTTTTTTTTTTTTAATCTCAATCAAACTCACAAAGTATAAATAAATAAAACAAATAAAGCAAGCTGGAGTTTATTTTTCTATTTATTTTTGCTATTTTGGTGGAAATCCTTAAATAATCACATTATTTCTCTTCTCATCCTACCCTTTGGTGACATCAAAAGGCAGTCAATCAGAGTTCTTTGGAGGATGTACATTTGTGTATGTTTAAATTAATTTCCTCCATCTGAGGTATTTAATTGCATTGTCTAAGGTTGCCACAGGTTGTTTGAAAACACTACATGGACTTCAGACAGAAATTATCAAAAGAAAATGAACGGACACTGTTTATGATGTGGATAAAAGCGGACTGGAATGACAAATTTCAATACCGTCTCGTAATTTACTATTGACATATTTTCAATCAAGTCAGCAAACTTTTTCCGCGATCAACGAAATTGTGTAAATATCTACGGCAATGCAAGCAGAACACTCACTGCTTACTAATTTTACCAGTGTTATAATTTAGTTTCTTCATTTACAGGAGCGTCCTTCATGGCTTCATGTCTCTGGGAGAGACTTGTATAGATTCTAGTTTCAGTATAACTAGAATCTATACTGAAAAATGCACTTAATTCCTCATTAATGTTGATCAGCTCAATTCTTGTGCCAAATTTGTAGTTTTCTTGTTCAATGCACTCCAAAAACCTCCTGCAAAAATAATTACGGAGCTGTTGTTGGTTCAATATTTACTTCATATTGAAACGAGATATTCCAGTTATCTTTAACTTTTAACGTACTACCTTCCCAAAGAACACAACTGACGACAGACGGTAAAACAAATTCCTTTAACTTTTCGCCAAAGTAGTTGATCCAGTTATTTACAGAAAGTTAGATGCAGGTGACTTTTCTTTTGGAATTATTCGATGAAATTATGCGACATTAGAATCTCACCGGTATCTGATAAAGAAAAAAGAAAAAAAAAACACCTGACCTGCAAGAGATTTACTTTTTGCAAAGATGAAAAAAAAAAAAAAAACCTATTTGCAATTAAAATACATTAGCAAGCAAAGCTATCCCAGCCACTAGCTCATAAGCTACATGCTAGCAGCTCCTTCTGTTTCTACAATCGGAAGTTTGCATTCTGACGATCGCTTTAGCTCATAGGAAAGGTGGACTTTTAATCCTAAAATGAAGCGGTTGGAATCTGTAACTTACTTTGAATGGTGATCCGCATTCGAACCGAACGTTAAATTTTAATACTATTTATTGCTGACTAAATATGCGCTTGCTAGTTAGCCATCGTTCAAGGCATCTTTGCAACTTTCGTGACTGCAGCGAGCGGGGGCGCTGTGGTGTGCAACCGATTTCGAAGAAGAAACCGTCTTCTTCTGCTTTTCGCTAACAGAGAGATATTTGTTTTGATCCAGAGCTTTTTATTACTTTTGGTTGACATCATAGCAGCCAATAGGATGTTTCACACTAACTGTCTGCTGCGGGTTTCGTCTTCGCTCCGGGCGGCACGCTGCCTGATGCCGAACCGACACGCCGCTCCTAAAACTGTTACATGTTCACATCACTGCATGTCAACATTCCACAAAAAGGACACTGAACACAGGGATGCGAACTTTGGAGGACCAGGTTACCGCACCAATAAGGTCTTTTCGTCGAGGAGTTATTCCACAAGCGAAGCTAAACTTAACTGCTGGAACTGTAAGCAACTTCTTGACAGAACTCCTTCTTTCTTTTGCGACTCATGCAAAGCAATCCAACCCCCAGAGGAAGGTGTGTCCTACTTCAAGATCCTGGACTGGTCAGTGTAACACGTTGTATCTTTCTATTTGTCCTACTTGATTGTGTCTCTGTCAGCAAAAATATTTAAGTTCACCAGCTGTTTCCTTTCTTGCAGTGACTACACATTCACATTGGACACACATAAGCTCCAGAAAAGATACTTGCAGCTTCAGCGGACTCTTCATCCAGACAACTTCAGCCAGAAATCTGTGGTAGGCAGATGATCTTGTAAGGTGCAGAGAGATCAGCTGAGTCAGAGAGAGGCTTTCCTGTGTGAGTCACCCTGTGGCTCAGGAAAGCTCAGCACTCCAGTGTTACTTGTTCTGTTTTCCTGTTGGCCAGTTTAATATACTTAGGCAATAACTCTATTTTATAGCAAAAATATCCAAAATATAAGTAATGTCAACAACATGTTTTAAATTAAATGTTAATAAATAGAATGAGAAGCAAATATGTTTTATAATAATATCATTGTACCAATATCAGTCACTTCATTATATCCTAACATCACAAAGTATTGCTTGGGTATTTGTTTTGTCATTATTTTTTATATTTCTTGCTCTACAGTCTATCGTAAAACGATTTAATCTTTTGCTATGACCTAATTAAATAAACCCAGTGTGGGAGGAGATTATCACTTAAATGCAGAGCGAGGTTAGAGACAACCTCTCAAGAACAATCCAATTTTATGACATCAACGTTGGCAATGTTAAGTTGGACTAATAACATGCAAAACACTGGGAAACACACATACAATATGGAATTTAACATACATAATGGTTCTGTTTAGGAATAAAAAATGGTGCGGCACCATTTTTTTCCATTGGTGAGCCTCGACTTCTGCAACTGAATTATTTATTTACTGTGTAGTTTTTTTAATGGATAACTCAGTCCTGGTTTAAATACTCCATAAAGTGTGGTTTTCATGCTTGTCTGAATTGGCCCCAAGGTCAAACATGAGAAAAAACATTGAATATTTCTTTTTGTGTCTTAAGAAAAAAATCGGAGGCTACAGTAGTCTTAAATATCTCTGTTCAATGTTGTATATCCACATTAGGATCTGAAAATCAAAGTAATCTATATTTTGGACTGGAGATCATCAAATTTAACGCGTCCATCCAAGTGCAAGTGTCATGAGAGTGGGGACGGGGCTGAGGACAAACAACCTCACACTCATTCACACCTAAGAACACAGTCCAAGCAGAAAGACCCCAGGTCAGGATTCAAACGACCTTCAAAAGACCTTCTTGCTGCAAGGCAAAAGTTCTACCATCATTTTGCAGGCTACAAAAAAATCTACCCAGATTACTTAATAACAGTGGAAAAGCCCTCTGACTTGATGACGAACTGGACTCCATGACTTTGGTGTATCTTCTTACAGTTCCTACACCATAGCATTCACAATACCTGTTGACTGGACATGTTTGTAAAAAAAGAAAATGTTGTTAATTGCTTACTCCATAGACTGGTGGTATAGCAATCTGAATACTGAGCAGTGCAGCCCATAATGTATATGACTGATTTGCATATCAGTTCAACTGTAGACCTGTGTTATCAACGTCTGCAGACTTTGATGGATAGGCTCACAGATAAAATATATTCCTAATAATATGCAAGGCAGGACTGTAAAATACTAAATAGAATAAATAAATAAACGGTTACATGGCTATCTACTATCTATCGAAATAATGTACCTAAAAAGACAGTGTTGCCTGTAATAAGTTAAAAAATAAACTATGTAGAGAATGATCCATGGCATCAAAAATTAAACAAGAAAAACAAAAGAAAAATGGTCTCTACAACGGTTTTCCCATTGTACTTTGATTTCATTCCTTGTTTTACTCCTCCTGTTAGAGTAGATCGGTGGTTATAGCCGATTCACTTGAATAATTTAAAGAGCAAAATATTGGCTCACATTATTCAAAAGAGCTGCTAGAAGGTCTGCTTGGTCAAGTGAGAAAAATATACTCAGTAGGCAAAAATATAATATTATTTTAGAACTAGAGCATCTGAACAGCTTAAAAGACTCTTCTAAGAAAAGAGCTCTGTCTTCTGAGAGGGGTTTAACTTTAAGTGGGCATCATTTGAAAGGGGCACGATTTGAAGATGGTCTATTGCAGAGCATTACCAAAAAAAGCACACAGCAGATAAATTGCTAAAATCATTTCCATAACCCTCAATTTGAACACAGAGAGTGAAAATATACAAAGCCTGGCAAAAATATGTATGCGTCTTCAATCTTTTTACATTTGGTCATGTTACCGCCATTCCAGTTCAGCTTATTTGCACAGCACCCATTCACATCACAAGGCACTTCATCAAAATAACCCATCAATTTATATACAGAAATGCGTCGTTTCTGTATATGTCATTCAGATGGATTCAAAGTCAGATTCTAGTTATCAAACAATGCAGTCAAGGTCAGTTTATTACTCAAATTAGTAAAACACGTTTTCTCCCTCCTGCTCCTGATGACCATGTAGTGACAGTGGACAGCAATCCCTCTCTCAGAGCATTTCTTATAGGCTGTAAAAGGCTTGAGA